AGCAAAACTATGTACTTTGTGTCACTTGTAGTGTTAATGCACATAATCACAGAAGTGCCATAATAACTCGAATAAATGGTACATTCAGGGACTAGGGTGCCGAAATCCCTACCGATGAAGTCAATTCAAGGAATCAACTATGTTCTTACATTCTTACACCTTCCATGGTTAAAAGTTTGAAGGGCCGGTGCGCCATGCTCAAATCCAACAGCGCGCCCCAATGACAACGGGTTACTGTAACACGGATTCACCGGCCGCTCTAATCCGTCTTGTGAAGCAGCCTTGCATTGCTCTCTTTGTAAATTTCTAATTCCGCGCTTATTTAATTAAATTCTTGTTTCAGTTTAGAAAGAGCGGTTTTATGTTGTTGTTTCCTGGATTACGACTTGCTTGAATGCGGTACCAATGGCGTATCAGTTAGCGACTGATCGTATTGGTGATTCTCAATGGGCTAGGAATCAACCTCGCACCGATGGCCTTACTGAGGTAAACCCAGTTTGAAAATAAGTTATGTAGACGGCTTTTAAGCGCGTTATTGCATCGTCTGGATGATTGTTCCTGTACTGAACAGTGCTAGACCTTTTTCCATTCAAGTGATGCAGATATCTGAGATCAAGTGACAGAGCTCACTCCGACTTTTAGCCTTCTTAGCACGACTGTAAAACCTTCGATCATGCAATTATTCGAATTCACTCGTCATATAATTGCTCTGTATTCTGAAACCACCCATCGTCCCCATGGTTTCAGTGTGCAGTCGCATTACGAAACCAACTGGCATCTGTTTCATCAAACAATGCTCTGGAGTTCCTGGCAAATGTCCGCAAGGTACGCGAACCATTTTTTTTCTGCATAACAATAAGTGTTGTTGGAGCAACCCGTAATATTTCTGAGAATCGCTTTCCCTCTGCTGTTCGCTATCATTGCGCTTTACAGATTGCCCGTGAAATTGATGTCGAAGCTAATGTAGTTTCCGAAGAGCTGGCTATTATCGAAGAGTCTTATCCACAGATTCTGTCCAGTCTTAGAAGGTATGTTCGGGGAAGTGCTCTGAATTTCTTTTTTTTCAATGCGAATTCACTGGAGCAGTTTTTTCCATGATCAAATTGTTCAGTTGGTTGTTATCATGCACGCCTGTTGTTTTTTTTCCGTTGTAAAGCGAGTACTATCCTGGATAGCGGGGGAACCTCCCCCCACCTTCTCACCTCAGAAATTTCTGCTGAGTGCCTTAGAAATTCTTCCTGGTGTGAAAGCCCATGCGGTGAACAACGTTCATACTTCGCGACTGTAGTGGTTCCATCTCACTCTACGACAGAGCACGCTACCTTGCTGATCATCGGCCCACTGTGTACGTCGGCAGACGTTCCATCTTAAAGTGTTGGAGCTTGCAGCTCACCAGCGATTAGCGCAATTCCTAAATCGCAAGCGTCAAGTACGAGTGTCGTTCTGAGGGTGAAAATCAGAAGGTTTGCGTTTCATTTCAGGGCTGCTGATCTGGAATCTTCCGTGACCTCGCCTCCATTTGAACTGCTTCTTTTGGGCTTTTTGTGTTCAGTGGTTCGCGCATCTACATAAGTCGATCGCGGAATTTTCTTCATGCAGCATTTTTTATTGTGAACAAGTGGGAGTGTGTTCGTTTTGCGCCACCGTTTCGAGCGTGCGCTATCGTTTTGAAAGACTGGGAATGTATATGTATCACTCCAGCGCTATGAGCGTTTCAAGTGTTCTGAGCGTTTTGAGCAACACGCTCGGCAAAGTATATCACTTTAAAGTGGAAAAGATTCCGTCGACATGATAGGTATTACTCGAGTCCGGGTCCTTGATTGTCTCAACTAACCTGGGATCTGAAGTTCTGCTATCGGAGTAGTCTATGCGAATTGAGTAGGAACGTTTTCACATCATTTGCTGCTGCGATGACAAATGATTTTTGCTTTAAACGGTAGAAATTTTGATTTTTTGAGCTAACCCATACTTCATTATAGATTTAAAAGAGATCTGTTGTTATTGAAAGAAGAGACTTGTGCGCTACGCAATCAGTATGAGAACTTCGTCAGTACGTTCATGGATTTGATGCAGAAGGTCTGCTTGTTATAGAAAAATTTTCCATTTTACTTCGTTCTACCTTTTCAATCCTAATTTTTCCACCATTCAGAGCTGCCCTACGCTAGTACCACAACTTCAAGCTCTTTCAAGAAAGCAGGCTCTATTGCGAAGGTGAGCACACACTTCGCTCTCAAATTATATTGTTCTCCTTTACTGTTTACTTTCCTGGTTGTGAAAACGAAAGGTCGATTAAGGCTGAAATGGGCTAATCGTGGGAGAGATCTTTTATCTCTCTGCCGAAATAAGATGAAGAGCAGTCATTGTGATTGGACTCGTCTTTCGGAACACTTTCAGAATGCCTGCAAGCACATGCAAGAGCGTGTTGAGGTAACATGCCAAGAACTTCAAATTTTGCCTTCGAGAGATCATTGCCTAAGAATGGGTGTTTTAATGTATAAAGGATATCCTAGTTCAAAGATAGTCTTCTGATATAAGAATGATCACTTTGTTTGCATCTATGCAGCTTTCGCTTTATGTTCACGCACTGCAGGCCATTCTTCGTGCAGCCCCTGAAAAATTTTGAAGAAAGGGGCAATTGTATTTCAGGCCTCGTTCACACTTAGCGTCAGCGTTTTGAGCGTAGGGCAGCGTCAGGAGCAACCAGGAAAGATGAGGAATCGATCTAGCGTCACCAGCATGCAGCGTTTTGAGCGACCAGGAAAGTATAGCTGCCGATCCACCATTTTGAGCCAGCGTGCCCTGGCGTATAACACTATTTTGAGCGGTTAGGAAAGTATAAGATTGATCCGGTTTCAAAGGGTTCACGAGCGTGCTGATCGTTTTCGCGAGCAATTTGACCTTTGGCGAGCGTCGCTGAAAGCGCTGTCGTACGCTCAGAGCGCTAGATAAACATCCATACTTTCCTAGTCGCTCAAAACGCTGCAATACGTGACGTCTGTTCAAGTGTCGTATGCTGGCGTAGCTAGCTCGTTGCCTATGCTTTCTGAGTCACTCGAAACGCTGGTGCACGCTCTAACGCTAACACGCAGCCTTGGACAAAACTGTGACAACTCTACTCGAAAAATCATTAAGTTATTCGGCGTTTGTAAAAGTCTTCACTGCATAGAGATGGCTTTTTCGGCTTTCTGTGGACGCCCTTGTAATTGGGAAGGGTGCGCGGTGGCGCAGCACAATCCACTATTCTCCTCAAAACGAGGCTGCGCATTTGCCGGTCATCTGCGCTCTCTAAAACTTGAGCCTTGAAAACTGGAGGATCGCTTTCATAGTGAGAGAGCATTCTTCCTCTTCAGTAGTACTGGCGCCCCCAGCTCAGTTTCTCATTTGTTGTTCTTAAAATTTCCTTATGTAATTGCAGTTCACAGACAATTCCTATACGACATTCGCTGATGGTCTAAAAGCGCTGGCACTGGAGCTGAACGAGTTTGCTCGGAAGGGGCTGAACGAAGTGCTGTGCGCAATAAAATATCCTTTTGAAGACTCAACAGGTATCTTTTTCTCCTTTTCTTCTTTCTGAATTTTCTTTTCTCCTGCTGTTTTCTTCTGTAGTCTCTTTTTCACTCGTTTTACTCTTTTTTTTGGTTCCTCGTGTGGTAGCTGTCACATACTTTATGTTTACTACTTGAACTTTTTGAGATACTCAAGCATATGCAAACGAAATCACAGCTGTTGCCAGTATTCTTTATTTGATATACTTGATCGAAGAGTATATACAAAAAGGAACGGGGTAAATCTCTTTATGAAATGATCTTTACTGTTTGTCAATTATACATGAATCTCTGTTCATGTTCGTGATCAGATTATTTGAGATGTGATGAGATTTATCGAGCGCTTCTCGATCCCATTGGTTTGAGATTCACATATCACTTTTGTGGAGACCGAAAGACAAATGACGTGTGGAAACCTCAATGGTATGCCTATTTGATGGTGCTTTAATTGCCCGTATAAGGGAAATAGTGTTTCAGGTATTTGAGTCAGACTTTGAATTGGATCCATGTTAACCTGGGCTTTTTCGTCGCGACGATTAGTGGTGCCACCAAACAGTCGGTGAGCACCAATATGTTGGTAAATTTTTCTCAAAAACGTACTATTAAGTTGAGGGGAAGTTTTGTCACATTTTTTCGAATCTAAAATACTTACCCATAGTTTGAAGAATTGTGATAGATAGTGTGAGTAATAACACCCATCATAACACTCTCCCTTCCAGTACCACTCACTTGCTTCCTTTTTCTTATTCGCAATATTTGCAAGAATTTCGTACCGTGTAGTCAGCACCGACTCCGTCACACTTTTTCCTTCTTCTCCTCTGGCTCGAGCGTAAAAGCTGCCGAGTTTAAAGGCAGTTGGCAAGATAAACCAAGATGAGTACGGGAAACTCGTGCGAAATCGTTTTTCAAGTCACTGGGAACGGAGGCTTTTTCTTCGCCGGATTTTGACCGTTTCACTCCATTCTTTCGCCATTTCCTCACTACATAGCGGCCTAGTAGCATTTCAGGCCGTGTGGGAAGCCATCGTGCCAACTGCCTTTAAAGTAAAGGGGCTGCATAGAAACGATGCCTCTGACAAGGGAAGGATACCAACTCGTCATGGCCGTTCAGAATGAGATGTATACCACTAGAAGCGTCTCCGGACGCTGATGTCAGATCTAACTTCCAAATCTGCTAAACGATTCTGGGTGAGAAGCTACGGACCTTTTTTTGCTACCGTGCTTAACCATTGCGGCGGGCCCCCTGCCCATGCTTTGCGCTTGTGAACCCCTCGTGACACATCTGTTGCCGTGGCTCGATGGCGCAGCAGGTAAGTGGATGGGCTCATAGTTGTGGGACGGAGGTTCGGGTCCTTGATGCATTCCCTAGTTTTGCTTTTTCTTCAAACTTATGCTAAACACTTGGGAAGTAGTTTTGCGTACCTGTCCGACCATCAAGACCCCTCCTTGCTCTTTATGAGCCCCACAAACGATTTTCGTGGAAAATGACACTTTTACCTAACTCGTTCAAGCAAGGGATCAAATACACATGCATACCTGCCTGAAACACGTGAATTGCAACATTTCACCATCTCGCAGGATGACAACGTGTGTGGCCAACGAGATTTCGAAATCTCTGGTAGCTCTATTCACCCACGCTCACAACGTCAGCCAACAGTTCTACGACCTACCATAACTGGAGAATGGTTTGACCCAGGGCACATCATTGGTTGGGGACGTCAGCCGGTCTATACGACTCCCCCCCTTTTTTTGGGCTGTCAAGCGGGGGAAGGGGGTATTTATTACGCATGAAATAGGAAAATCACAAAAAGTCAACCACCGCTCCTACAACACCAAAACGTAAATCGACCTCCCTTCCCAACAACGACCAAGTAGGACCCCCACCCCCCTCCGTCGCAACGTCCATGAAGCGAGAAGAATCAACTATCAAAATGAATTCTTCCCAGCCCAAATACGACCCCCGCTCTCCTGGCGGCCAAATACGACCCACCCCTATTGGGGATTGTCCAACAACGATGTGCCCTGGTTCGACCCGACTCTGGTGCTATCAGACCTAGTGAAAGAGTTTGGATCTTCCGATATTGTTCGATCACAATCCCGCAAAGAGAGGAAGATTGCAGGTAGCTTCTCTGCTACTTTGCGCGACGCACTGCACGACAATTTTATAATCGACTGCGAGGAAGATAGCTTCGTAGAGGACAACCATACGGATCCCCTCTGGTCACCTGATGATGGCGATGAAGAAAGATAATTCAGAGCTAGAAGAACAGCTCCAGTCACTTTTGGGGATGTGGAGGTTCCGATAGAGAAAGTGGTTTGATAGTCTCATTGTCTCACTTATGGACTTCACTTTGTACAACTCCATAGCATAGTATGTGCGTTGATTAGGTGAGTGAAACCATAGCCTTCTACCGTTTTAGTGCAAAGAAAGAAAAGCTGCTTATTTCCATGCATGAAGAGCAGGTACCGCTTCATTGCTACCGAATAAAACTTGCGGAAGTTGAGTTGAGATACTATCAAAATGAATGCTTTCACTGAAGTCAAAATGAAACCCCTCTCAAAAACCCAACATAGCGCCTAATAAGAAGCAGGGAGGTGCCTTGGTGGTCTAATAGGTACGCAAAACTACTTCCCAAGTGTTTAACATACGTTTGAAGAAAAAGCAAAACTAGGAAATGCATCAAGGATCCGAACTTCCTTCCCACAACTACGAGTCCATCCCCTTACCTACTGCGCCATCGAGCCACGGCGACAGTTGTCTCACGAGGAGTTCACAAGCGTAAAGCATGGGCAGGGTGCCCGCCGCAATGGTTAAGCACGGTAGCAAAAAAAGGTCCGTAGCTTCTCACCCAGAATCGTTTAGCAGATTTGGAAGTTAGATCTGACATCAGCGTCCGGAGACGCTTCTAGTGGTATACATCTCATTCTGAATGGCCATGACGAGTTGGTATCCTTCCCTTGTGAGCACTCTTTTGCGACGCCAATGCTCTAAAGCGTAAGGCAGTATTTCTGAAGACGGAATGAGGTATGTATGTCGGTTCGAATTCGGCTTTAGGGAGATGCGGCTCGCGGGAATACTTGATCAATAAGTTGATTCGCTACGTGAGGCAGCTGCCAGATCTGCAAGTTGTCGATTAGAAGAAAAAATATTCAAACAGTGTACTTTAAACATGGCAGTACTAGGCCACATTTTATAAAAAGGAAAAGCTGAACCCTGTGCAATACGGCCGGCTCTCCTTCAGCACTGCTATAGTCCATACATTCCATCTGGTTTTTAGTTGTTTTCGAATCAACTCTTTACATGGAATGGCGACTCGAGCCCAAGTCAAATTCGAGGGAATGCGATACTTTGCGTTGTGCCAGCTAACTTTTTGTAAGAATAACTTTCATAATGTGACTAAAAACTTGCAAGGTTCTCACAATAGAAATGATGGATATATTTGAACTAATATGTTTCTATTCAAATGAAGGTTTGTTCTCAAAAAATGATAGAACTTTCCCGAGAATTTATTTTGCACGTATTTAGGGTATTCCCACCTCACCTGCTTCCACTTTCTACAAGTATCTCTCAGAGCTACCTATCGCAAAAACTAAATCACTTTTAAAGCAAGATCTGGTGAGTTAATAGTTCTTCGTTACGTTATGACAAGCTGCGCAGTTTTCAAAGAAGAGGAAGGTGGTATCCGATTTCTTATTTAGGTTTTGAATGATGTGCTATTGTTCTCGCACCTTCTCGATGAATGCATACAGTATCAGATGCAACTTCAGGGTAATATTTTGGTTTCTTTCTTATACTTGAAAATGACGCGAACAGTTTCTTTCATCTATTGCTTTCATTAGATAACGCGACCCAGAACTAGTTATGGAACTTGAGAGCTATTTCTATTGCGGGAGTGATATGAAAAACGTGTTGCTGAAGTCCCGTGGTTGGGTATGGTAGTGTTAAGACCGCGAATACATCATAGGTATTGTAGCCGTTGATGCCCCAGTTTCTCCTTATAAGTTTGTTGTGTACCTACGTCCGAAGATGATGTACACCTTTCTAGCATCAGACACGAAAGATAAGTGCCTCTGTATCTCCCCCTTACGTGGCCAGGGAGGCTGACATCAACGAGTCAAACCTGAGACATTCGACTACTCTGTATCCTTTGCATGACCTCCCTCCATCCCATCGTCTTTACGTGTCATTATTTGTCTATCTTACTTTTCCTATAATTTTGTTTCTGTCAAACGTCAAAAGGCAATTCATTACAGACATGGATCCTGATGGGTATTCGTCTTCCATACTCACCCTCTTTTGCAATCAGGGCGTGTTGAATAGATGGATCGAGGTATATTTTCCTGCCACTCTACTAATGACGAAAATAGATTTGATATGATCCAGAAGAGCTTCTATAGTTTTTTCTGCAAAAATCCGTTACCGGCTATATCTCCTGAAATGAATCTATTCGAGTTTGTCGCTGAAAATGTGCTTTGTAAAAAAAGGGAGGGATTGCACAAAATAGTGGGAGACTTAGATTTTTCGAAGGAATCAGGTTGTAAAGTAGCAAGAAATAAGCTTACCAACCATTAAACTGGCACTTACAACCATTTTGGTTTCCTTGTTTTCCTGTGATTGACGATAATGAGAACATTATCCAGGGATATAAAAAAATGTTGATGTCGATATGCCAACATTTCCGAGAACTCGCTCAGGCTGTGTTGGTGTCGGGAAGGGCTTTAATTGTGATAGTCTTGATATTTTTTTGGTTTTTTCTTCGCTGGATTCATTTATCGGCTGCTGGTTTATAATTAAACACCCATACTGCGGGAGCTGAGTCTGACGAAAAGTTCATTGATATAGTCTTGATGCAGTGATAAGGCGTGCACGCGCGGCTGCTTGGTGTTACGCCAGCTCAGTTTTTCTCTTTTTCTTTCTCCGGGCAAACGACGGGACTGTATCATTCGTTAGTATTAGTTGTTTCACCGATTGTTGTCGGTTACCCGCTTAAGCAACAGAAGGGGAATGGATTTGGCGGTTTGCCAATTAGAAGCAAAGAAAAACAAACATGGGAAAGGAATACACTCCACAACACAGATGATCCATTTCGCTCGGTATCGCAGACGAATCATCATTGTCTAGCCAACCTCCGAGCTCATCAGTGCGATAGGTTGAAGACAAGAGGACATTGACTACATAGGGGAAGGTGTGAGAAATAGGACAAGAAGAGAGAGAATGTAAAAGAGGGGGGTAACATGCAAAGTTCATGCATCAAGATGATGATGAATTACACATAATAATGAAAATTGTACATAATAATGAAAGAGTGATATAACACGAAGTGTGCTGTAAATTGGAAGGAAGGGAAAAGGAGTAAACCGGCAAAACCATGAGAGAATGTGAGTATAAGAGAAGGTATACAAGAATTAAATCAATTCAAAGTATAGAAGTATTGTACAGTAAGGTTTGCCAAACTCAGCCGCGTCGAAGTTCCTGCGAACCAGACGTTAAGCGCGCGTTCTATGTTGTAACAAACATTCATTTCAGTTCTTATGGCCAGGTCATAAATTGAGCGTTAGAAATGAGATATCAGTAACGTGTATGGCAAATTCAGGCATTCTTTATGGATTTTTTTTTCTTGAATCTTCAATTAGCGCTTTTCTCTCTATGCTTTTCAATAAAAGATAGAAAACGAGTGTTGCCTGGATCGTATGGATGAAATGCTATCAGCGCCGGATCGTTGGAAAAATCGCTTTCGATCTATGGAAGATGCTGATCAGGTTGGATTTCATTTATTCATGGTTCTGTGTTTCCTGTTTCAAGCCACTATTTGCAATTTTACCTTGCTTCAGTATCTGGTGTGCAACTGTGCGGATGCCTTTGTTTCAATGCTTCAGTACCAGCAAAGTCGTGCAAAACTGCTCCCAGACGACGTAGCCCAGGTACAGTATGTGTTCTTTCCTACACTTTCTCCTAAAGAGAAGTCTTCTAGAGGAAATTCCTTGATTTGCAATTGCTCCTCACTGAGGACTTTCGCAAGCGACTTGTCCAAATCGCTAATCAAGCGGAATCACCTTGGAGCGAACCGTTTCCCAACGTGATGAACGCCATATGGTGGGTTTATGAATTTGTGGCGCACTGGTTGCGTTTTGTGATAAATTCTGCAGCGTCGTTCTGTAACGTTTTGTAACATTTGGTACTAAATAGTTGTTTATCGTCACATCATCTATCGGTTGTTTGGTGTTTGGATATGGAGTGGCTTGTTTTTGTGATTCCCTTCTCAGAACTTCGAATTGTGTCTCTTAAGGTATCTCAGACAGGTAGTGGAGGAATGGAGCGATTCTTGCCTACTGAGTGGTGTCACTTCAAGTGGAGGCCGCGCAGTTTTTGAGGAATCATCGGCAATGTTCAAGTGAGATTGTCAATATTGGAGTATTGTCAGAAATAAATCCACGAGAGGGTAATGCTTAGATAATTGCAGTCATGTATGGAATCAAATGGCTGACGACGTTGTCATATCACTGAAATTGCAAACCATTGATGTCATGAAGCCGTATCAACAACATTTTTGGTACATGTTTCTTTTATTTTTTTCTTGAAGTGGTTTCTGATCAGCTTTTTCCAGGTGCGCTATGGAACCACGGCTTGGATCATCTTCACGTGAACTTACTGAGCCATTTTGTCCAGTTCTAATGAAAATTCGCTCCATTTTTGCCAATGCGGGTGTGCAAATCTCAAAGGTAAGATCACCATTCCAATAAATTTGTTTTTCTCTGTTCTACCATTTTGCAAACTGAGAGATGAATTTCCCTATATTGCTCCCTATTCCTGTTTTGCCTTTTTTTGCGCTCTACAATTGCATTTATCTGCATAGTCTGTTTCCTCAAATTTACGAAGAATGGTAGAATTTTTATTCTCAAGTATTTTTTTCTTGATCTAGTACTAGTAATACATAAGGATTTAGGGTTTCTGATCGAGTAGGTGTAGTGGTGCAACATTTGCCAGCACATACGCACACTTTTGTGTTTATCACCCTTCCTCACGTGTTCTCTTCCTCTCGTCAGTGGATCACCAATCAGCTATTTATACTTATTTTTGTATCTTCTCACATTCCAGGCGTCACTTGAGGAGCTTTTCAAACGAATGTCGTCAGCCCTTGCATGTGTCATTGCTGAAGAAATTGTCAATGTAACCCCATTTAGGTAATTTCTCAGAGCATACATCGGGTTTTTTTTCCTATTCCCTATGTTTACGCTTTTTTGCTCATATCTTTACGCAATTTAGTGCTGAGGGAGCTACACAAATGTTGTTTGATATGGAGAGCGGGCTCATCCCTGTGCTCTGTCACATTTTCACTCGTTGTGAAATATCGCCAAATATGTATTACGATGAAGTATGTCTCTTGAACCATCAGCACCAAACTAGTATATTTATGTGGAACGATTTGAGTTCTACTTTTTAGACCTTCACAACGCTTCTTGGCTCGCTGAAGTTCTTATCCTTATCGTGGGCTGTCATAACCTTGTTGAAAGATGAAATCGATCAGGTTGGTGTGGTATTTGTGTAACGCTCAAAACAAAAGGGTAGTTTCTTCATCTCCAATCTGATAGCCTTTTTCATAACACATAGTGTATAATCTGTGATGATTATTTAGCTTCCGGACGAAATAGCTGAGGAAAAGCTATTTGAAATGAAGATTTATGGGGTGAATAAAGAAAAAGCCAAGAATTTAATCCGCTTACGTAGCGATATTGATAAGCAAATGGATGATCTTGGACATACGTAATGAGATCTATGCAAACATACTAGGTAAAGGAGCTGTGATTGCTTGCTACTTTATTGTTGCCATGTGCCATAATATATGTTTGTTTGGGAGTTTTCTTCTTCTACTTTCGACCTCTTAATGTTTCTTTTTCTATTTTGTATGTCGTCTCGCTAGTGCTTATGGGTAATAAAGAGTTCAGTTCTATATAGAAGTTGGCAAGACTTTGTCGTATGTCGATTTGTTATTTCGTACACTTCACAAAAATCTCAACTAATCTCTCTGAAGGATGTGTATCTTTACTGCCAGTTGCGGCGTCGAACGACTAAAGTATTTCGGTTAGCTAGTTGACCTGGCACAACATAACCTGCCAAGTTCAATAGGAGGGGGGGGGTCCTTCTGCGTATACTGTTGCTCTGACCCGCTTGCAGCACCGCTCTGAACTTGAAAATAATGGTATGCCTTTGAAGCGGGCGTTATTCAAGTTTTTACCTTTGCGGATTTCGTATTAGATTTTCTTGCATCGCAAGGATGAGTGCCTGCAAAGACCACTATGTTTGAGTAATCCTTGGAGTCTTCATTGTGGTGGATATAATGAAACTCTTTCCAGCTCTTCATTCCATTGACTACGTTTCTGGCCGTAAGCCCTTCTTCAGGTCTACAATCATCACTATATTGCCTACACCAACATCGTCTAATTTCTATACTGCACAACTAGAAATCCAAAAAGGGAACAATCAATCAAAAACTGACCGGCTTTCTACGGAAGGGAGGGTCTGAGGTAGGAGTGGTGCGGGAGGGAGCTGCAAGAAGGTCTGTCCTTCCGTCTGAATAATGGGACAGCTAGATCGGTGGAGCAGGGATGAGATGGTGATAGTTGATACCCTGTCATTTGCCAGTGTCCGTACTGGCGGATTACGGCCGCCAGTACGGACACTAGCCCGCCGATTTGCATCATTTTCGAAAAGTGGGCGGAGCTTCCATAGGTGGGCGGAGCCAATCGCTAAAGCCTAAACAAGCGAAAATCCGGAAGAAAAACCAAAATTCCGCTATTAACACAAGTGGGCGGGTTCAGAGGGCGGGGCCTGGTGTGCTGTGCATGGTTATTCGTTTTGTGAAGATTGGATGTGAAAAGAACCACGTCGAAAAAAGTTATAAGAATTCAGAACTTACGTAACTTCATTGTTGAGTGGGCGGAGTCAGATCTGTGTAGGTATCAATCCTTTTCAGTTGAAGTGTGTGTGCAAAGCGCAAAAACGAAAAAAAGTCGAGGGAGCAGATTTCATGAAGCATCTCGGAAATCCTGTCCGCGCTGAGAAATGGGCGGGGATAATGGGCGGGGCTTGCAACAGTACCTAGTGTGGTCTAGTTATCAACCACCTAATTGTAAGGGGTGTTTCCGATTTGGTTTGAAAAGTGTCCGATTTGGTTTGAAAAGTGTCCGATTTAAAGTGAAAATGGTATATCTGTTGTTCCGAAAACGAAACTTGAATTTCACATTTATCAGAAGTTCTTCTATATCGTCGATGGACAGTCCTTAGATTGAAACCTGTCGCAGGAGATTTATGCACGCTTCTACGGCAGCCTTTTGTCCACGTTCATGTACAACGCAGACACATCGAAACGTCGATATGTTGCTCTACAATCGACAGGAATAGCCATCCCTCGCAAGTCAGACCTCAGAGTATATGGAGGGTCATATCATCGAGCTTAGAACACATGAAAAAAAATCTGAACCATTCCTTTTTGTCGTTTTGTATTCGAGTTTTTGAACGGGTAGCCATTGATGGATCAGTTGTGAGAAGCTCCTGATTTCATCGTAAGGCTGCGTTTACACTTTGCGGCAGCGTAGCGTAGCGTAGCGCTTCCAGCGTACGCCAGCGGCAGTGTTGGGGAAAGGATAGATATCGATCAAGCGTTCCCACCGTCACCAGCGTACGCTAGCGTAGCGAGGGCATGGGAAGCATAGCTATCGATCTAGCGCTCCCAGCGTTTCACTAGTGTTTCGCTAGCGCTTGCAGCGACGAGGCTAGAGAGGGACTAGAGGGTATAGAAGAGCAGGAGAGTATTTTGTACTGTCCTACTCTTAAATACTCTCTAGCCCCTCTCTAGCCCCGTCGCTGCAAGCGCCAGCGGGGCTAGAGAGTATAGAGGAGTAGGAGAGTACAAAAGACCCTCCTGCTCTATACTCTCTAGCCCCTCTCTAGCCCCGTCGCTGCAAGCGCCAGCGAAACGCTAGTGAAACGCTGGGAGCGCTAGATCGATAGCTATACTTCCCGTGCCCTCACTACGCTAGCGTACGCTGGCGACGCTGGAAACGCTAGATCGATATCTATCCTTTCCCCGACACTGCCGCTGGCGTACGCTGGAAGCGCTACGCTACGCTGCACTACGCTGCCGCGAAGTATAAATATTATAATATATATAGTATATGATAGTATTAATAATATATATATATATAATATAATATATATATATATATATATTAATATATAATATATATATATATATATATATATATATAATAATATGCCTAACAGTCGGTACCACCAAGACCGATGCGAGGGAGGATTTTGTGAGCCACACAATTTGCTTTTGCAATTTGCATTTGTCAAAAGTTACTATATTAATACAGAATCCATGCTTTTTAAACGAGTTTTTTCGAATGGAAAGGCCATCGGTGGATCAGTTGGTCGTCGGGTATGCGCGAGAAGATAAAGGTCGCTTCTCGGCTACAGGATCGGTACGTTTAACTAGTTTTTTCGGCACAATTGAATTATTCCCACCCCAGTCTGCCGAAATCAGGACTTTTTTCCTACAAGGGCAGATTTGGCTGAAAATTTGCTTATAGGGGTACTTCGACCTCTCGAACACGAATACCACATCCGCTTTGCCCAAAACTGCTTCGCGCCAGACTAACCAGGGAAGTCTGCCAACTTGCCAACTCTGAATGGAGACCTGGGCCAGACAAAAAGGGTAAAACGGTTCCAGAGCACTCCGAAGACCGGAAAAAGTGGATTAAGGTCAGCAGAGGGTCGCCGGTGAGGATTGTGGGACACAAACATTGTGAGCGGGGCCTGCTCCGAGGTGGGCGGAGTCACACGAAGAATCTGTAAAATAGCACAAGAGTACTTCAGACATCGGAAAAAAGTTTAGTGCAGAACAAAAGGTGGATATCAGTTGAGCCTAGAAATATGTGAAAGAAAATACGCGCGGCGAAGCCGCGCTCGCCCGGCGCAGCCGTGCCGTATTAGAAGGAGGCGCGCCGGCGTTAGCTGGCGAGCCGACTGGTGAAGCATAAGCGAGGAATCGTTGTGGTTCAGTGGTAAGGTTCGACGTTCGACGACTCGGTTCGACGTATGCGATTACTCGCTTATGCTTCACAGTCACCTCCAAGTCTCCACTTCACTGCACCATTACGAACTTTAGCTGCTCATAAGTTGCTTGTGAAGTGCAGGTTGCAGTTTCGTTACTATTTAAGTGAATAGCCTTATAGACTGTATCAATCTACCCAGATCTCCAAAGTTCCATGGTGAGTTGGCGGACTTCCCGTAAGTCACCATATTTGCTGAAAACTTGTCTCTTGGGGCAGTTTGACCTCTCAAACATGAATATCACATCCGCTTCGTCCGAAACTGCCTGGCGCCCGCGCCACAGGACTGTCCCAAATCACCAAAATTGGTGAAACTTGTATACAGGGGTTATTTGACATACTGATCACGAATATAACATTTATTCTTGGCGCCGGCGCTAACGTAGGACACTATGGTCATTTTGCGCTTTGCTAAGACTGAGCCTGATCTGAAGGGTGTTGTGTCGCGGAATGTGTCTGTGTAGACGGCGGTAGAGTAGGCAGAGATGTTTATTAGGAAGCTGTTTCTGAATTAGCCTGAACTACACCGCTCGGAATGACTGGTCTATATACTGATTCGAGATCACTAATGTTTGTTATTGTGAACAAAAGTTATATTCGCGGTAGGTCTTACACCGCTCCGATACCTGACACCTCCCCTTGTTAGAACATTTGAAGGAAAGTGATTAGCTGATCTCACTAGCAGTTCTTCCTATGGGGTCCATCTGATTCCGTGAAGGAGGGCGGCGCGTGCTCCTCGATCTCCGTGACTGGCCGTCATTGTTCCTCGTTGTTGGCATGACGGCATTTGGTCGTACTGAAATTGACGAGTGCAAGTCGAACATCTCGAACAGTGTTTCAACATCCTTGTCGTTTTTGGATGGTGGTGCATCGTGATGTCGGAAACGGAGCTGACTGGCATGTCTGACACAGATTTTGTTTCCAAGTAGGACCTTACAGAGTACACGTCCTACTCGTTGAAGCACTTTTCCGGTGTCTCATTCTGATTGGTTTCCGCTGTATTTTCGTGCGTACATGGGATCGCTTGATTGACTGAAGTAACGTCTCCGGGCGACATGCTCCTCGTTGAACTGTCGTTCCTTTGTTGTGTTACGCTTTTGTCTTCGTCGTGGAATCGGCTTCAGCAGCGAGAGAACAGTTCGTAGTTTTGCTTGGAGTCGTTTGATTTCCTTGCAATTGCTAGGAGTGCGGCATATGTTGTCTTTCGCTTCGGACGGAACACTTTTTTGCAACTTTCTTGAGACGTGGTGTAGCTTTTGACAGCTTCTATGGTCTGAGGTCGCTACTGAAGACTTGGGGATAAGCCTTTCGTAGTTAGCTGGCAATCTGGTTGCTGCTTGAAGAGGTGTTGCTGACTCTGGTTTCAACTGAAGTTCCGGGATCGACTTGCGGGAGCTTGTCCATGAGGCTGTAGACCAAGGAAGTGGGCTGAGTACTGCCAACGTAATATATTCCTTGAGCTGTCGCTGAGTTGAAGCTATAGGTGCAGCTACTTTAACCAAGAAACTAGATGCTATCTCCGGACGCACTGTGAGCGATACGCGATGGAGGCTGCAGTGGACGTTTGCCTATAAGTTTCCATGTCGACTCACTGATGATCGTAATGTCCGCGGCACTGTCCACTTGAAAATTGACTAGCTTGCCTCCACTATTATCGTTGCATATCGTCGATAGTTGCCATCTCTGCTTGACATGGTGAAAACTGCATCTGATCGCACTGCTCTCTTCGAGGAATATCGGCTGGGTCGCAGTGGGCGGTTTGGTCGTCGTCTGATATCGCAGAACCCTTCTTTGTGACCGATTCTACGGCATCCAGAGCATTTATGTTGTCGATATGAACACTTTCTGACGAAGTGCATTGCTCCGCATAGCCAGCATGGATATGGAGGCTACTTCGAGGGGAGTGGGGAACAGTTGTTGTTTCTCTCGCGGACCTGGGGGCGTTTAGTCGATTGGTGCTGGTGCTCAGCTTCTCCTGTCGGTCCATGTCTGACCGGGTGCACTTTCGACTATCCCTCCTCAACCATTTTTGCCCTGCCTGAGATTTGTAAGCCGTTTGCATTCTTCTGCGATAGACTGAACTGCGCAATATGGACTGGCCTCGATTTTGTCGTGCAGCGTAGTGAGTCGTATGAAAGCATCGTCGCTCGATTGCAAGGCGCTTACGAAAATGAGGCGTTTGAACTGGTTGTCGATAGCTAGGTACACTCACGACTAAGTCGTCCAGCATAGGTGATCAAGTCCTCGCTTGCATCCTTTGCTAGCTTCATGCGGTCGTAACGAATAATAACTCTTGGGGGACAAACAGGTAGGTCAGGGTCGATACGGCATCAACGAACGTGACGTTTCGTGGTGTCTTCGGCAGAATGTAATACTTCTCGTGGGCCGTAGCGTCCAATTTGTGCAGAGGAAGTCGAGGTTGACTCGTCGAGCGTGTGGGCTTCTCTTTGGAGGGATCCTCGTGTCGGTGATACCAGGCTTCGAAGGCGAGGTCGACTTCTGGGTCGTAGGAGAACGCGCGATTCGTCCTGCCAGCACGTCAAATGTCCTCGTTGCTTCTGCTACTGGTGTCTTTGGCTGCTGCGACTGTTGCTGAGCGATTCTTTGATGGCCTCCGTGAGTGCGGTGAGTTGCTGGAACTGCTTGTCCGTCATCGTCGTGCTTGGAATCCTGATCATCACTGTTGTGTCGCGGAGTGTGTGTAGAAGGCGGTAGAGTAGGCAGAGATGTTTATTAGGATGCTGAACTACACCGTTCGGAATGATCAGTCTATATACTGAATCGAGATCACTAATGGTTGTTATTGTAAACAAAAGTTATATTCGCGGTGGGTGCTCCGGTATTTATCGAAGGGAATCACCGTTTTTCACTAGGTTCAGCCTCTGCAGAACGCTAAATGGCGCTGGTATGAAGAGATAAATGCCATGCTCGTGATCAGTGCGCAAGTTTTGATCGGTTCTGGAAAGAAAAGGTGCGGCGCCAAATTGGCGCCAAATGGCGCCAGCGTTAAGAATAAATTCCAAATTCGTGAACAGGATGTCAATGAACCCCCGTATGCAAGTTTGCATCAAATTTGGGCGAGAAATGTGTTGGTACCAAATGGCATCAGCGCCGGAAATGAATGCTATATCCGTGATCAGGACATCGAATAACATCTATAGACAAAGTTTCAGCGAAAATTTTCTGAGGTTCCGGGGTAGGAATAGTTCAATAGTGCCGTTTTTTTAATCATCCAGTGAACCTGGGACCTAGTGTCTCTCATCGGTAAACTCGTCGAAATCATGTTTCCTGGATTCATCGTGTTGTGATGTTGCAATGTGGAGTTGTTAAGATGAGATATTTTGTAGGACTCTAGATGCTAACATGGTGTTTCATTCAACTTCGTCTCGTAGTAGGCGACATACAGCCCTTTATTTCGTGTTTCAAGCTTAGAGCGCGAGTCCATGAAGCGGTAGAGATAATGTATTGGTAGAATTACAGTCTTGTTAGCTGCCATTGAAGGGGCGTGTCGGTGCAGCAGCACTTGGCATGCCGGTAAGTTTATTCCACTGAGAAGCGGTGTTCGTCAACAATATATATGTGACCTTCATCGACAACTTGTTCCCAACCACCAGGCGAAGCGTGGTTGCCTTGGTGTAGAAGTTTTGGTTCCGTGCTGGGAAAGGCAGCCGGAGCATTTTTGAGGTACTTTCTAATCGCATTTTTTTGCCTAGTAGATGGCCTTTAAAGGATTAGTTTGGATGGCGATCGGAAAGAGCTATGTCAGGGCTACACGAAGACTGTGGTGGAATTCCCCTGCTAAGCTCCAGGATCTCGTGCAGTGTCATTTTCGAAACATGTGGCCCTGAGCTGTGGTGAAGTAGGCCAACACAGCTCGTCTGTGGGACCAAATAGTAGGGATTTCCTGATTACAATAGGGTTTGCTGGTTACCACAGCCCCCACCACATACTCAGTCTCCACTGCCCTACTGAATTATTTATTTATTTAATTTTGGCGCCAACGCCACAGTCAGTCAACTGATAGAGAACGCGGTAAGTGAATAAAGCAATATTGATTAAGAGAGGAGAAAAAAAGAAATAAAAAGAAGGCACTATTTACCCTTTACTGCCCCAGTCATCCGAAATCAGGCCAGTTCCTGACCGACTTTTTCTCCGTGGGCAGATTTTGCTCAAGTGTTGTCTACTGGGGTAGTTTGACATTGTGTTGTCCGTGAATGCACACAGCGGGGCCTGGCTCTAAGCGGACCACTTATTTTAGGCGTAAGGACTGTACCTGTCCACGGGCAGGTGCCCGCGCGGAGACGGGCGGGTCGCTGCCCGGGTTGCCGCCGCAGCACCCGGAGCTTCCTCCCCCCTGCGCGCGTGCGAATGGAACGTCAAAGATGACACGTACATCAGCCGTTTATGCAAAAGCTGTATAACTGAAGCTATTAAACGCACCTCAAACTTGGGTAACTAGACCGATTACGGTGCGCCCCGATTGTGTGCGTTCACGACGCGACATTTTTAACTTCACGCGCAATTTTCGGGGGTACTTTAGGTGGCCTGACAACCTGGACTTATAATCTTGTGATTTCGGATGGCTGGGGCAGTAAAGGGTAAATAGTGCTAGTAAAATAGCACAACTTAAACAGAGCCTGCAACAGAAATAACTTAGGAAACAAAGGTCCGATAGCACTGAACTAATTGACGTCAGACCAGATCTTAGGAACAACCCAAATGAAAACGTTTGAAAACTGAGAGGCTTACTAGTCAAGAAGTGCGCCTTTGATGTTGCGTGTGTGGTGGCCTACGGGGACAAATGTTATGTGTACTATATAAGTTAGCATAAGAGCATCGCATCTCATATAAGAAGTATCAGAGGCATCGCATTACCTCATGACCGGATGTGACCACACTGCAGCTGTCGGCCAAGATACCTATTCGCCACTTTCGGGGTCATAGGAGCTTGCCGAGACTCCGAAACACGGGTACACCGACTTTCCACGTGGGAACGGCAAGTTAGCTGAGCGTCTCATGCAGACCACAGGTGTGCGTTGAGCCGGACAGGATACCTTTGGTACTACATACCAAAAGGTGAAATGGCGGACTACTCGTATTGATTCTGCATAGTAGCATCAAGGCAAGGGTTCGTTTTGTTCGAATTAATAGAATTGCGCGACCGGTTCTGCCCTGTGTGGGGATCTAGCCACTGGCGCTTCCGGGAATGATTCACCTAGGGACACTTCCTCCATATCCAGCTGCAAGGTTGTTCATTCAGTCCGTATAGCGGAAGCGGGAAATAAGTTGCAGGCAGTACCCACAAGAGCTCCCCTTGGAGTATCGGTTAACTCATGAGAACAATTTTGAGCGAACTTCGATCCTTTTTCAAGGGGCGAGGCCCTCTGTCATTTGTGCTTTTGGAAAAGTGAAGTAATGAGTAGATAGCGAGTTGTTTTGTACTAAGTAGTTTTGATCAAAGAGCGCAGTAGGTCCAGTTCCAAGGCAGGTGGCCTCCCTCTAGAAATGGTCACGAACTTTTAGGACAACTTTATATTTCGGCGCCAATCTCACACTCAACGTATAATGTACGTGTATTACTCTTTTTCCTATTTAAACTGCGAATTTCATGAATCAACAGTAATCCTTTATTAAAGGCTAATGCGTAGTGGGGTTCAACATAGTTTGTCGAAACAGATGTTTTCCTGAGGCGCATAGTTATGTTATGTTATTAAGCTGCATAAGGCAAACGTGAGAGAATAGAACAAACAAAGAACGACGAAAGAGAACTATTGAAAATAGTAAAAAGACAACGACCATCAAACTTGGAAAATACGCTTGCTAGTATATTAAGAAAATATCAAACTCAATAAAGTGAAATGGTGCTACTCGAGCTGACAACGATCCGAGACTAGACTATTCAATTACTGGTCAAGGTGAAAATTCTAAAGTCAATCTCAAACAACTAGGATGATCTATAACTAAGAAGCCGTGCAGCTGCAATCCTCTTAAGCTGTCTTACAGTATTGGGAACAGCTAGATTCTTCGTAACCTTCTTATATGTGCTCGCGGCTCTGAATGAGAAGCTAGCGGCTCTAACCCTGGTTTCGGACAGGCTAAGAGAATTTTAGCTTGCCCACCTCTGGTCCGTGAATGCTGGATTTCAAACAAGCTGAGAGGATTTGACCCTTTAGACCCGTACAGGAGCTTGTGAACCATGCAAACATCCGCAACCATCCGACGTATTTCAAGGGTGGAAAGTCCGAAGTATTTGTTCCTATTGGAAGCTTTGGGAACTCTTGAATACAGGAAGCTCCTGGTTCGCAAGAGAATTTTACGAGTATAGTTATTTTGCACCTTCTCCAAGGCTGAAACATCCCGTTTCTTAGTGGGGAAAAAAACAGCGGCTCCCGTCCCTACTAAAGGGCGAACGTATGTTTTGTACGCCTTGAGAAGAACTGATTTGTTGGTAGAGGACAAACCCTTGAAAATGTGAAGTTTGAGTTTTGAGTTCTAGTCACAATATGAATGTCCTGTTCTTGTTAATTTCATTTGATAACATTCGGACATAAGCCATTATTCGGTTTTTGTGCAGTGATGTTGCTTGTTATTCAGTCTGAAGGACGCTCAAGGTCACAACAGAGTTTCAATTTGTCTTACCATCATTCTAGGTACCCTTTTTATTCTAATTAAGTCCATTTTATGCAGTAGTGCCACTTCGCCTCTTTGATATATGTTATTTTGCGATATAAGAACAATATGAGGTGTTTTTGACCACTTTCTTTTCCCCATCGTTCTATTATGTCGTGGCAGCGATCATGTTATATGAAACACAGCAAGCACTTATTTCATTTTTCGCTTTCATGCCAATCTAGTAGCCCTTTCCCCAAGACCTAGGCGAACCAACGAAAGTCTTTTTGAATTCTTTCAGTCAGCGTTCATACTTCGCGACAGCAGTGGCGATCGCGGCGACCTCGGCGATCGCGGCGATCGTCGGTACACGGCAGAGCGCGTCTCAACGCTATTACTTGGACCGCTCCGAAGGCTTTTAGGTAGAAGCGACACAATTTCATGCTTTTTTCCTTTAACTGCAATTTTCTTAGGTACTGGAGCTTGGTTTGACACAAAGAAAGGTGAACTCATCTTAATGGCTTTTGTTTTCTATTTTCTTTCTTGATTCAGGATAGAAATGAGCAAAAAGCGTGAGAGCTTCATTTAGGGTAGGTTTTCATTGTTTCTTTTTTCATTCGTCGAGCTTATACATGAAGTTATAAAATTTTCACCTGTTGATGTTGCGTAAAATGATTAGTGTTTTGGTTCCTAGCTGAGTTTCTTTCTGTTTCTTTTTTCCTTCGTTGTTTGAACCCGACTTGTAAGCTATAAATATTTTGGAAGTTGGAACAGTTCAGACGTTAGGAACGTTTAAGGAATTGTACAAATGTGATATAATATAAACTTGTATGAACTGAAACAATAAAAACAAAAGAAACAAAAAGAAGCTCACCCAGGAAATGGAGTTGGCCTTATCCCGACCTAAAACAACCTCCTCACTTCATATTCCAGATCCGCTTATGTATAGAAAGTCGTAAGTTATCAGTTAGTAGCCATTATTGAGAGTGAAGAAGGTTTTACAAGTTGGATCCCCTTATTTATCAAGCGAGCGGTCCATAATAGCGTTGGGGTGCGCTCTGTCACGTACCGACGATCGCGGCGATCGCCGAGGTCGCCGCGGTCGCCGCTGCTGTCGCGAAGTGTGAACGCTGCTTCAGCCCTGTGTTACGTGTGCGGCGAGTACGTGTTCGCTTAGTTGTTCGCTATTGAGCTCACTTACAGTGTAGAGTTCTGTTAGCAAGTCCCCTTTTTTCAAAAGTGTTTGAACATGACTATGGCTAAATTGTCAATGTTGTAGGTCACATTGATACGAACTACCAATGCTAATATTCTAGTGGACTGTGGTGACCCATGGAATGGTGAAGAAATTCTCCAAAAGCTCTCCTCTTTCGGTCTGCAAAAAGAGAATGTGAGTGTTTGTGGCTTTTTATTGCATATCATTTGTTTACTCTGCAGTTTGAAAGACCTGAATAGGGTTAGAAAAGGAGATATTAATTTCAAATCAAAGCGCTATCACGACTGATGTGTGAAGACTCACGATGGACGGGATTCCCCCAAACTCACGTTTTTCATCAGCATGTATTCGAGCGTTCATGTTCGAGAATTTTGTGTAATCGGAAAGCCACATTCGATTATTTACTTGTTCCCATTCACAAGGTGTGCTTAGGTACACTGAAATGTAATCAATATCCTACTATATATAATTCGATAAGTAAGTCTGTCAGTGTTGTGTATACTCATACACAACACTGACAGACATACTTATCGAATTATATATAGTAGGTTGATTGTTGTGATTATTATTGCATGTGTGTGTGTCCGTCCGTCCGTCCGTCTGTTTGTCACGAAATTCATAGCATCCGTCCCAGTAGCAGTGATAAATTGGTTCCAAGAAGTGATGTGGGGGGTGTGACGGGAACACCAGGATCACCATTGGAGGTGAGAGGAAATGATATCAGTTGATAAAATCCGATAAAAGACGGTAGCAGGTGAAGGTCACCATGTCTATGACGTGGGCGACAACATCAGCTAGGTGTTGATTCCAAGATATGGAATATGGTATGGGACAGGAAAGTTATTGTGGGTTGGAAGAACTGTGAGTTGCTGATAAGATTCGATTAGGGGCATTAGAAGGGGAAGGTCATGTCTATAACATGGGTGACAGCACCAATTGGGTGTTCATCCCAAGATATGGCGTAGGGTATAGGAACATCGTTGGTGGGTGACAAGAACTCCAAGCGCTGATGATCTGACAAGAGGCGTTAGAACGGTATGGTTAATGTATTCACAGCACGGGTAACAGCATCAGTGAGGCGTCGGTTTCAGCAAGTGATATAGAGGTTGACTTGGAAACATCAGTGGTGGGTGAAAAGAAGCGATAACAGCTGATAGGGGCTGGTAAGGGACGTGACATCGACGTCACAGTCCAAGGTGGTGGAGCTTTTACACTACCAAATTATGAAGATTTACTGATAAGTACATTGATGACAGGTGACAGGTAATTATATCAATCGATTAGAGTAGATAAGAGGCCATCTCCACTGCATTTCTTATCGCTTCTTAATGCCATGTAAGTAGAGCCTTAGTGTGTGAATGATGTCAACAGAATCAAAGTCATACCAGTTGAGTATGTCTGCTCTCATATGTATGAAGCAATATCGAGGAGGGGGTCATATTGTGCGTAACGGGAAAGTCGAGAAATTCATCAATCAAAAAACTTCCAGAAGTGTGCCTGCTGGGTGATGTGCGATGATGTGTTAGGAGATGGAGGTTGCAGTCAAAGCACAGAAGGCGGGGAATCTGCAGTTCGAAGTAGGAACCCCCGTATAATGTAATATGCAGGCCTCCCGTGCGACGCGTATTTTGACATGTACTGAACAGTGTGAAATTCCCCTTTTCGGTGCCGCCCATGACTCCTCAGCTGTGCTTCTTAAGGTAACAAGGCCATGTAGGTTACACTGCTTATCCAGACTAATTCAAGTTGATTCAACTCTGATATCACTGCGGTATTAGTGATATGATGCAGCTCTCATGATTGAAAGTCACTATTGGTGAGAGGGAGCAGATTTGGATGGATAATGGCTGATGTTGAGCTCTCCCCATTTTTTTCTACATTTTGGCGGAAAGTGCCCTGTTACAAATTTGGCACATTGTGCACATTCTGACTGATGTTGAGCTCTCCCCATTTTTTTCCTACATTTTAGCGAAAAGTGCCCTGTTACACATTTGGACATTGTGCACATTCTTCCCTGCTAAGGGAAGAAATTTCCGCGAAGCCGTGTCGGCCGGGCAAATCCGGGACGTGACACAGAAGGAGGAGCGCCCAGCGGTAGCTGGGCGATCCGACTGGTCTACTCTATATAACTTGCTACGGTTTGTCTGTCCGGAAATCCTGTGCTATCAGAATCTAATTGATACCACAACCATTCCTGATTGATGATGCGGTGCAAATAATTTTTAATGGGCGTCTACAAAGTGCGCCTGTTTAGCAGCAGCAGGTTTCTCAACTTATTTTTCGATATCTTCTTCAAATATGCTCTGTGACCATTTGGCACATTTCACATTCTAACCGCCCAAGGAAAGAGCGGCTGAGCTGACGAAGCCAGGTCGGCCGGGCAGAGCCGGGCCGCGACAGGGCAGGAGGAGCGCGTAGCGACGGGCGAACCGACTGATACGTGAATAATTGAGAACAACGATAGTATAACCTGCAGATGGGCTTAATATTTAGCGGAAGGAACATGAACTCGACATCTTGAGCAAGTAATGCCCCCCCCCCTTTAATTAATTAAGATAGCAGTGAACTCCTTAGGGAGATCCTGTTCCTTACTCGGAAAGGCTAGGTAGACATGAATGTTGGGGCTCGACATTTTTACCCATGGTGTCGTACTAAACCGAGCTCTAATGGGAAGTGAACGAACGTATAGTGATCTTCCACTGACCTGTTGCCTTTGGCAAGGGACCCGAACCATGTTGCCGATCCCAGGCCGTGGACAAAAGAAGCGAAGGCTGCTGTCGTCTTGGATATCACCGATTGCACCGATGCAAATTGCTGTAGACATGAAGAGAAAGAATTCAGGTCTTAAATGGTCAACCGGCCAATGTGTTCCGTAATAATATTCTAGAACTGATGTTTGTTGTCTACTTTTCCTAATTTTTATTGGTGTTCAGCACTACTTCAGCGAGGGCATCTTCTCAGATTCACATCGTTGTCGTCACTCATGGTCACATTGATCACTGTGGGAATTTGTCAATGTTCCGTGATGCAAAGATCTATATGGACGGCGATTTAGCTTGTCAAGGAAAATACACTACATTCACTCAGGTGGTACAAGTATTCAGTCAGAAAATAAAAGCTAAAAAAGACTTTCATGAACAAATCGCTAAACGATTTCAGAAGAAATGATTTTTCTGAGCGGGGCGAATTTCTGTAAATTGATATAGTATACTGGGATATGATACGAACAATATGATACACTCGGTGGTATGGTATCGCTTTTGTTTGTCGTGGTCACCGATTGTGTCATGGTCAAAAGCGCGGTAATCTGGGATATACAGGAATCGCATCGAGGGTTCATCGGACATTTGCAGTTGGCTGTAAACAGGTTACTCTGTTCCTATCGTTGGGTACTAGAATCGCGTAACTACACTGAATTGGACCCTTCTAGGTTCCCTCAACAAGTGTATTATTGAACATTTCGAGTGCTATATAATGTAAAGCCATTAATTGAATGGAAATATGTAGAAAGTCCCCGTGCTCACAAGCAAATGGTTTGAACTTTTTATGGAACTTTGGATGGAGACTAGGTACATCGATAGAGTCTCAAATGTTGGTCACGAATATGCAGATTAGGAGTGCTACGGGGACCCCCCAGATGAGTTCTGGGCGGTCAAAGTTTGCGAAAACTTGGTCTTGGCTCGTAAGTGCTGCTGATCGATTACGGACAGTGCGGACGTGGCTTAGAGGTAACGGTCACGCTTTAAAGCCAAATGCTCTTGGGTTTGCATCGCGTTGGCGCGGAATTTTTGCTTCGTCTCCTATAAGAGCTTTTACTCTGATTTTCGAAATGCTCCCGGGTCTACGGCTCGGCGGAGCAAGTAGATCAAGTATATGACCTACTCGGTCGAGTATGGATTTGGTCGCTGTTTGCACTCTCTGAATTCATTACCCATCCGACAATTCGAAGTTTTGGCCAGAAACTCGTTCATGGGGGTATTCCGGCCCCTGAACACGAATATCACATCTGTTTGACGAGAGAATCCTTGTAGCCTTTCACGTTGTTGTGTGAACGAGGGAACCAATCGTTTTCACGTCAAATGGATATAATATTTGCGCTCAGCGGGTCAAAATAGCCCCAGAAACGAGTTTTTGGCCAAACTGTGATTCTGGCCAAAACTTCGAAGCGTTGGATGGGTGATGCGTTCACAGGGGCAGATAGCGATCATATCCATACCCGATCGACTACGTCATATACTTGGTACACCATATACACTACACACTACATATACAGGGGCGGGGGGCAAAAAAAAAGACATTTCGACCGAGTCACATATCAGCAAAGTTTTCGCAGCCCAGACAGAGGACGTGGATACGAGTACTAGGGCGGAGATTCCCAATATGTTCCTCTATAAACAGGAGCTGGCGCTCGCCCATTTCATGTACACCAAAATATGAAGTCATCTCCAGTCGCAGCCTGACTGGAGAGGGCCTTTAAAATTCATGTCACCTCCGAGCAGCTGCGAAACTTCTAGTATGGAGTCACCATGAATAGCTACCTGGAGAGCAGTATCTCGATCTGGAGGACCTCCATCATCGAGCAGCCTCGACAACCTCGCTACGGTCTAGGACATCATCTTTATCTCAGTTGTCAAGGCGCCTGTTGATGGTGGGGACCGGACGTACCTGCAATGGAGAGATTGATATTTTCTTCATGGGCCCCGGACTGAAGGTGAGCGCTAGCGGTTAAATCGAGCAACTCGAGAAGAATATCCTCTCCACCGCCCGTACCTTCTTGGAAGCTTTGTACTGCTACAGGATTGGGTGTCGGTTGAATGCGGAATTAGCGGCAGGATTGCCGAGCGCGGAGTCATTCGAAATGGCGGACGATATCGATGAAGATTACCAACGATTTCGTCGAAACAGTAAAAATGCTTGCAGAACGCTGTCGTGAAGTGGCCCCGAATCACTCCACTCGTCGCATATCGTCTTCTACCCGTGCGCTGCTCGAAAAACGAAGGAATATCGATCGCCAAGAAAATCACTTAGAGTACACGCTGCTATCCAGGTTATGCAGACGGCGAATCGCCGAAGACCACGCGAGCTTCACCATGTCAAGGTTTCTAGGCGAAGCGGAGAAGAAGAGAAGCCTTAAGAGAGCTAGGAAAAATTTAGCAGAGCATCGCTTGATGATCCAGTGCCTCAAAGCCGAAGATGGGTCTCGCTCGCGTCGATAACAAATATGGAGCAGATTCTGACGACGTTCTACACCACCCTGTTTAAACCAGACCTCGAAAGGCGGAAAAATCATCGCAAAATCGAAGCTCAGCATTGCCTTTCCTCACATCGGAGGTACGGCATGCGGTTCAAACGATGCCACAAGGTAAAGCACCCGGCAAGGACGACAATAGTATTACTCCAGGCTTGTGGACTTCCACTTTATCAAGCCCTTGCCAAAAGCTATACGCGCTACCTGGATGAAAGTGCAGTGCCAACGGCTTGGAAGCAGTCGTCAACCGTGCTGTTGTTTAAGAAAGGCGACAAGGAAGACCTGGCAAATTACAGGCCAATCACGCTTCTTCCAATATTTTACAAATTGGCGCACATACGAAGAGCGCTAGAAGAAGCACAGCCGGTGGAACAGGCAGGATTCCGTCAAAATTTCAGCACAGTGGACCACATGGCAACCTGCCGGCGTTTAATACAAGCAGCTCGAGAGCACCGCATGCCTTTTGTACTCACATTCGTCTACTACAAGAAAGCGTTTGACTCGGTAGAGCCAGTGAAAGTTTGGGAAGCGGTAGAAGAGCAAGGGGTGGAGAAGATCTACATAGACGTTCTCCAAGAGTGTTACACTGGTTGTACCACTACGTTTCGCCCATTCTTAAACGACGTGGTAGTATCAATTGGAAAAGGTGTGCACGAGGTGATCCGATCTCACCCAACCTGTTCTCCGCATGTTTAGAATCCGTTATACGCCGCTGCGATTGGAACAGCTTTGGACTAAATATCGACGGTACTGTTCTAAACCATCTGCGATTCGCTGACGACGTTGTCCTGATTACTAGCTCACCAGAAGAAGCTTCCGAGATGCTGAATCGTCTGGACCAACAAGGTAGTCCGTATGGTTTAACGATGAACACCTCAAAAACGAAAGTCATGCGAAATCAATTCGCTGGAGGTGCAACCGTTATGTTGAAAGGGAACCCAATCGAAGACCTAGAAGAATACGTGTACCTCGGCAGCCAGCTGAACATGAGGAATGATTCAACTGGAGAACTAGCGAGGCACTGCATAGCTGGATGGGCAGCATTCAACTCTATAAAGAGTGTCGTGGAAGATACTATGAGTTACAAACTCCGTGCGGACCTCTTCAATGCCCTCACCTACGCTTAGTAGGTCTGACGTTGAGCCGTCAACGAGAATTAAAGCTCCACAACTCAGACGTCAGAGCCATGTCGAAGATCAAGGACATTGTACTCCACGTAGACGAAGCAAGACATCGATTTGCTGGTCATGTGTTGAGGAGATACGACGGAAAATGGAATTCTGCGACCATAGGATGGTACCCGCGTGACACGTGACAAGAAGCGACCATCTGTCCGCCCTCCTCTACGCTGGGCCGATTCTCTGGCCTATCGCAACAATGTTTATGATCATACTTCTCTTAAGGTCTCTATGCACTGGACTAGCAAGGCTCAAGACAGAGATCAATGGAAAAGAAGTTGGGACCGGCGCAAGGTCAACCGCCGTGCTGAAGAACGGGTCGCCTAAGTAACCTAAGTAAGTAAGAGGATTGATTGACACCACATGAATCAAAGGGCGTTGAGAAAACTCTTGCCTACTTGGAATGGAAGGGCTTTGAGTACCTGAAGAAGGGGGAATATCTAAGCAGGTCACCTGACGTAAACCCCCTCAGTTACCTGGTTCAGGCGGAGTTCAATAGGGTAGTCTACAGTGGCGGAGAAATCAACAATCTCGCTGAACTCAAGCACCCACTCGCGGTCGCGTGGCAGAATCTCTCGATGGCGCTCCTCCAGAAGGCTGTGGCGGAGTATCATGGTAGTATTTAATATGCTCTTCAATATGGTGGTAGAAATGTCCGATAAGAACTTGATAAAGTGTAACTTATAGCGCCTCGAAAGTCGAGGAAGAAAAAAGTTTTTTTGCTTCCCCCTGTACACTACACTTGATACACTGTATACACTACATACTACATACACACTACCCTTGATACACTATATACACTACGCTATATACTTTACTTGATCTGCTTGCTCTGCTAGACCGTCGACTCAGAAATCAGAGTAAAAGCCCTTGCAGGAGACGAAGCAAAAGTTTTCGCGCCAGCGGGATGCAAACCAACGAGCATTTTGCTATGAAGCCGGACCTTTACTACTATGCCAGGGCTGCGCTATCCGTAATCGATCAGCAGCGCCTACCAGCCAAAACCGAGTTTTCGCAAACTTTGACCTCCCAGAACTAGTCTGCGAGGTCAAAGTACTAACGCACGTAACACTTTTAATGTGCATGTTCGTAATCAGCATTCGAGACTATCGATATACCTTGGTCTCCATTCAAAGTTCCATGGGAAGTTGGAACCATTTAATTGTTAGTTGACTTTCAAAATGAAATATTTCACAAGGTATCACAGAGTTCATACCATTTTCCAGTATGTGGACGGGAGTTGACGACAGTATTGCCCACCTCAAATAGCGCCGAAATAGGGGAAAGGTTGTCGTTTTGTAGCAAGCAGAATTCGATTTTCCCTAGGAGTTAGATTCTGTTTAATCAGAAAAGTGCATTTCATGATGCTCTTTTAAGTAGTTGGATCATTTAGAATGGTCAAGGTCTCCCAAAAGGCGAACTTTCTTTGTCGTCTTTCGTCTCCACACTTATCAAGTAGTTAAAAATTTTTCTGGTTGGATTTCTTATAGTGTCTATGTTTACAATGTTTACACAATAGTTGCTGAAGATTTTTTAGAGGTGGGGGATAGGGGTGATTTAAGGAGTTCGCTTAGCTTCCGTATCGCACGTGCAGACAGAAGTTAAGCAATTTGTATTATCCTCCTTTTGTGCTCGTCAGTAAAGGAAAGGATTGATGACGCGTTTAACAATAATAATTTCTTATTTTATATTGATGTAATTTTGTTAATTTGACCAAATTTTGTGAAATTTGTTTTTATTTCTCGTGGAGTTTTTGAGCCTTCAGTTAATATATGTAAATGTTAAAAATCAAGTTGTTTTAGTGCTATGAGGGAAGCATGAACTTTCGTTATTATTTGACTTACCTTTATGCACAAATACATGTAAGTTCATGCACAGGCATACGATGTGCGCATGCATACATACAAGCACAGGAAGAACTTCTTACATATTCATTTACTTTTCTCAAATTATCTTGAAGAACTCACCAACGACTGTTCTTTCTTTCATGATGAATGAGGGTAATTAAGTTAGCTTGTTTTCATTCGGTGTATCAGGGTTAATCAACTTGGACTGGTTTTAGTTCATTTTTTGATATTTGAATTTTCCGGTTTATTTCTCATCATCACCCTTGAGATGCATTAAGACAAGTGTACTCCTTTCTGAATCTACGAAAAACCTGCTCCAGGAACCAGACTTATTATTAAAAATCTTTGATCTTAGAACTAAAACAATATGTTTTATCAAACATTTTTGTGTATATTTTGTTATTGCCAAGTTGTTCAGGAAAATCCGCTTACGCTCGCAGAAACTGTGGAGCTTCGTCGCTGCTCCGGTCACACTGACCATGATCTGATAGTAGTCGTCAGCAACACTGAGTACGGGCGGATCGTTGTTTCAGGTGACCACCTTCCTTGAAGTTCTTAATGCTGTGACCATGCCTCCTGAATGAGAAACCTCCGAACAAATATCAATTACCTTTCGCAGATGCAACTATAGTCTCCTTTGCTGCGGATGATAGGGCGTGTCAGCGCGGCTGCGTTTGGCGCGGCGCGAGCAACGTTTTGCTTTTTTTATGCGAACGAAAAAAACGCCTTCATTTAACCCATTGCGTACCACGTGCTGCACCATGTGCAGCACGCTCATTCGTCGCTGTATGGCCCGTGCTGCACATGGATCCGCTCCGTCTGGATTATTTTGCATACTTTTCTGCTAGAAAGTTGGGAGCATGTTTTCGAACACGGAGAACAACATAAATACGTGGGACCTCGATCGCTGAAGTAGTACTCGGGTTATTGACCTCTTTCATCAAAAACTTCAGCTGTGATCTTCTTCATTTATTTTCAACGTCCTTAAACACTCATAAAGGATTAAACAGGACACCGTTGATATGTGTGGAAACACTTAATGCAGAAATATTGACCGCAGGTTGTGCATCTTATATTCACTAGTGTTGTGTGGTTTCTAGCGTACAGAACACCAGTCGTCCGGGAAAGGGTCCTGTAGCATGAGATGCACCTCCTTAAAGACAGCCCCCGCGCTCGAGTAGTACATGGTCGTCCTTCCTTGTGCAAGTAGTACAGCCCCCAAGCTAGAGATTGTCCCACTCTATTCGTCTGCACAGCGACCGAGAAGCGAGCTTCAGCCGCTGCAAGTTCTAGTTCTAGCCCGCTCAGTTGGACCGCCTTACTTGCTAGATGTCCTCCGACGGAGGCCACTCAATTGTTCTTAGTTGGGGCGGCTGGCATTGCTAATGCCCATGGATAATTCTGCTCCCCTTTACTACAGTTTACTCATTGGAGGTATATACATTCAATTCAACTCATTTCGCGAGGTGAAACGCGTAAAAAGCACGAGTGACGCAATTTTCGTGATGCAAACCTCGACGCACAAAATGTGCGCTACCGTATTCCCAAATTCAGACACGCGTTGATAAAATTCCTTTTTCCCTCCAAGAGTTTTTCCTCTGCGTTTTTGTTGTTTTCTTTTTGTATTGTTTTTTTTTGTCACTGGATGATATCAACTACTGCGAGATGTGAGAGAGAGAGATTTGTGAGCTAGGGTTGCACAGAGACCGGAGGTGTAACTGTGAGGGAGCGATTTTGTTTATGTTGTTCTGGAGGACGCTTCTTGCCTGTTTTCTTCTTTGGGAGATTACTTATCAGCTAGTGTTTCATAATTGGAAAGCAGCTATCCATGAGACTTTTATCGCGGGAGCTGTCTTTAAGTTCCTCTTCGATCCACCTACCTCGTACATCTTCGGTCTCGAGGAAGCGCTCGCTGGTGCGTTTTATCCTTCTAAAATGGGCTCTGTAATGCCGCACTTGAACTCACTGAACGCCTTTCTTGACGACCAGTAGTCTTTGAGGTTTGTTCCGAGTTCGAACCCTATTTGGAAATAAATCGCCAGAAACTTGAGTAGTTCGCACTACAGTACGGTAACTTCAGTAGGCGAACAATCGTACACCGTACCCCAAATGAGCCGCAAATAAATCTGGAGGCACACCAAACACAGTATCTCACGACAACAGCGTAGAAATCGCTTGTTGGGGAACGTAGTTGTTGCGATGCTAAGGATATCCAAAGGATTAGAACTATTGCATGTGATTAGAACGATTGCATGGAGTAGTGCTCGTAAGAACTATAGGTCCGTTGGATGCTCCAATAAATCATTTTTCTATTTATAAATGTACTTGTATAATTGGGCTCCAACGGCACTCATCAGAAATAGTCCGCGTTGAGTCAGAATTTCTCATAGCATTGCGGCGGAGTCTTTACACATTACTGAGGCATCTTGCTGAAGCATTTTCCAGATGGAAGTGTCACGACTTTCGCGAAATTGATTAAAATGGTGCAACAAAATAGCCTTGCATGTTTTCTCCTTCACAGGTCACGCAATGCCCTGTTTAATGCTTGAATGCTATGATTATGATTAATGAGGAAATGAATGTGAGTGATTAATGCCCTGCTTCTTTCCATGTTCAAGTAGTGGTTTCAATTAGCCACATTCTTAGACATGGTTCTGATGACAATATAGCCTCCTTGTCTTGTGTTTATCAGTGCCTGCTTGCTTCCTGTTGGTTTCCTGCGATACGAGGAATGATGACATGCATAGTTTTTTTTTGAACAAAATACCTTAGTACGAGTACGAGATCCATACTCAGCTCTGTCATCGCCACGATGGCCATGACCTCTCCCCCTAATCCCGCATCCAACTCTTCGAGGCGTGGGCGTAGCCCCAAACCCTATGCTTGTATAACCAAGATAAACGGTTGGACTATTCGTGTCATCTGCAATCTACAAAGCCGCTACTGAACGGCCACAACAAGCTCTATTCACAGCTTCAAAAATAAGCTCGCAGATTAAACCTCAACTACTCGAGCCATTCGAGGAGCGGTGCTGAAATGAGGAGAAAAACTTCTGCTTAGTGCAACAACATTCGTTCACTAGTGTGGAAAGCGAAAACTTTCTCATTCCGATGCAGTCGTGTTGTTTTCAAAACCTAAACAGATTTTTATTCAATCGAGAATCAAGACAAAGCTACTTGGACTAGGTTGCGGTGAGCTGCGTTCATAATACTCGTCTGCATTTGAGCGTTTCGGGCGAAAGGAACGTTAGCTATCGACCTAGGGTTTTGAAACTTATCAGCGGAATGCTAGCGTTTTGACCAGAAACTATTGTGTATGTGTCGATGCCAGATCGATATCCATTTATTTATTTATATAAACTATTGTATGCATTAATAACTAGTTAGCTAATTAGAAGTGAACCACGGAATGACAATAGGAATGATACAGGGCGAAGAAATAATAGGTAAGAAAAAAAAACTGTCAATGTATACTATTATTCACAGTGTTATTGTGATCATATATGTATATATAGGTGAAAAAATAGGGTGGGAACGGGGGGGGGGGGGGGTGGGTGGTGGACGATACGGGAAGGGAGGGGCTGTGGCCGGCCAACACTGCAAACCGTTGCTGGGATTTCGGCTCCGGATACCATCATAGTAGGTCCGCCAACCCTCCGTAGTCCACCATAATCTGCACGGTGGGTTCCTGGGGGTAAAGGGGCAAGGTGAATAAGAAGGAAGAACTCTCTAGATTATACTAGCAAAGATGAAGAGAAAATGAACAAAATGCAGACCGAGAACGACGTTCCAATGCTGAAATGTGATCAGTTACAGTATGATTACCAACTCCTACACTAAAGAATCAACTAGTTACCCTTATTGTATCAATGTGGTCCCATCTTCCCGTATTCAATAGGCTTACCTCGTACTGAAGAAAGTCGTACAACTGGAACAGTATGAAAATCGGCTAGTGAGCGTAGAACACAGTTGCTCATTACAGATTCCGCAAGTCTTATAACAGCATTTGCAAGGGAAATACTCATTGCAACTCAGAGCTGAAATTGAATAGAGTGCATCCGTAAACAGCAGCACCTATCCTGTGCCACCATGCCGGTCTTTTACGGCATATTTGCGCCTAGTGTTGATATTCGTTAGGCGGACGCACTGTCGATCGTGTATCGGACTCATCAGAACTGATAATTATGCCGGATTTTGATTGTTGGACTCTAACAGTGTTGGGAGCCATCCTGCTGTTTCAATAATCTTGATAGATGACTCTGAAAAGTACAGGATCGCTTTCACCTGAATAGATCGCGATTGAGGCTGTTCCAAAGAGGGACCACCTTGACAAGGAAGGATTCTGCATATGCACTGGAATTGGGTTTGTAAGGTCGCACGCGATAAGGATGACCTCTAGAGATATTTATGCTTGGTGGAATATCAAAAAGATCAGATAGCTGCAAGCAACTTTCGTCTGTTGTAAGTTTGTACATCAGACAAAAATCAACCAACTTCCTGCGAAACTCGAGGGTGTCCGCTCTAAGTATGCGGAGACGTTCCTCATAGGAGTATGTCGTTAGACCCCTGCGCATGAAGCAACGATAGGTAAATCTTTTTTGCACCTTTTCGACTTCATCTATGAGTTATCTTTTGCCGGGTGACCAAAGCGGTGTGCAGTACTCTAGCAATTCTGACGTATAGAATAAAATCGGAAGAAATAAGACGGATCTCGGATTTTGAAGGCTCTTAGTATGTAATTGGAGATGGTGTAAGCGGCACGCACTCTATCTCTTATGTAGCTCTCAAAATCTAGTTTGTCGCTGTAGGTCAGCCCCAAGTCGCGGACCTGGTGAACCCGAGTCAACGGCTTGCCATCTAGAGTAAAGGAGGATTCAGGATGAGTGCGACCCAACCCCATTACTGTTGTTTTCGAAAGTGAAATCTCCAAAGACCACATTCTATACCACACTTGTATAGCGTCAAGCGCCCTCTGGAGCAAGCAGCAGTTGTTGATCGTGTATATTTTAGCATCATCCGCATACATATTGCAAAAGGAACCAGATGGGAGGCAAGTGTTCGAATCATTGGTAAATATAATGAACATTAGAGGCTCTAAACACGTCCCTCGAGGAACTTTACTGGGGGTAAAATAAGGGAAGGATAAGCTGTCGTTAATCCTCACTGATTGTTCTCTGTCACTGAGGAAGGATCGAAGGAATTTGAGTAGTCGGCCTCTGATGCCGTATGCAGCGAGTTTCCTGACAAGCAGGGGGATAGAGAGCGAAAGCTTCGGCATAGTCTATGTAACAAACAGAAACAAAGTTCCCTTGGTCCATTTCTCTATGCCATAGCGGAACTGTAGAAATGAGGGCTGACGTAGTTGACTTGTGCCTGAGGAATCCATGTTGGCTGAATCCATGCTATTCTTCTCGCCCAAAACGTCTAAAAAATGCTCGTACGATACCAATCACTACACATACGTGCATTGTGCATGCAACTTCAACGCTGCTATCGTGAGATGATGTGTTTGGTGTGCACCCAGATTTATTTACGGCTCATCAGGGGTACGATGTACGATTGTTCGCCTACTGAAGTTACCGTACTCTGTTCGCACTCATCGAGAATAATCCAGTTTGAGTGCTTTGCGACAGCACAACGATTGGTTTCTCTCACAATCAAATCAACAAGATCGTCTGAGAAAAATCGCCGGAAAAATTGGATTGGATGCTGGTAAGATAGAACATATTCATTCAGTGCACCACCGAAACCTTGAAAGGCGAAATTGTTCTGCCTGCTGATATTTGGGGTCCATTGAGTCCCTCCATCATTTGTATTCGAGCCTTTTTCGCTTGATTCCCAATCGGACTCATCACTTGAATGACTCAGGCGGACAACCATATCTTCTGGGGTATCAAGGTCCTCTTCCACCACTTCGTCGTCCCTTTCAATCAGAAGCTCATCAAACGATCTATTCAGCGCGTCCATCATTGCCTATCTGGAACGGCTACTATAAATTAGGCGTGGTTTCCCAAAAAATAGCCTGGAGAAGCGAAATGGCGTACGTTGAGTTTATACTTCGCTGCTGGCGCGAAAAATACCGCTCTGCGTGACCGCGTGCTGCACCATGTGCAGCACGCCGCCGGCGAGGTTGCGAAATATGGCTCGAGCACACGCGGCAGCCAGCGAAAAAATGCCGCGGTACGCAATGGGTTAATTGGGACGTAAGGTAAACTACAGACTCGCACTTGAGCATCCGGCATGGGTCCCGGCACGATTACCCTGAAGATGCTGCGCGCGCTCATACGGTCGCACAACCGCGAAGTATGAAAGCGGTCGTATTTTGCATAATCGAAGATCAGGCGCGCACCTTGACGAAGCTCAAAGGAAGCAAAACAGATGTTTCAATTTGGATCGCTTTTAACTGACTTGCAACAGTGCTCATTGTTTATAATGTATACATCATCCATTTAAGAGCGAAAACCCTTTTGGTCTCCATTGTGTGTTAATTTCAGATCTCAATCACTGTAAGGAATGTAGATAGTTTCTCGGTACTCAACAACTTGATGGGTCACATCCAAAAGCTGGCCACAGTTCACCAGAACGGTTCCACTGATACAACCGGGAATTATTTGAAACAACCAGACCCATTTCCCTGTCGCCGTTTCCCAGATAGGGTACTCTGTGAGAAGCGTTGCGTATAAAGGTGCCGTTTGCTTTGCATTGCTGAAGGAGCACTGTATAACTCACAAAATGCCAGCATCATATAAGGCATGTAATTGCAGGACCCGCAAAATGAACGTGCAAAATTGATTGTATTGCTACGATGAAGTGTACAGAAGCTATTTCCAACTGCTCTCTTGAAGAAGCCATTTCGAGCGAGAATGCTTAAAGTTAAGCAAGCGGGTACACTTTAGAGGAAATGTCCCCATAATGATGGGCGAGGCGCCTAAACATGATAAGGAGACGTGTGTTCCTCCTTACTCGACTTTACCTCCAGTCCAACGCAAATTTAGTGGGAGACGCCACATCATAAACATTATTGTACAAGATTCGATGCTTTTGTGAGTATAGTGTGGTGATATTCCCATGTTGAGTTCATAGTAGTCAACTTAAGATGCTACTCGCCGGTCGCGGTGGATGATTATGATGCCCTAGCGCGGAACCGCGCCGCGACCGCGCGCTCGCAAAGGCCGGATGCTCAAGTGCGAGTCTGTAGTTTACCGTCACCCGTTAATTGGGACGTTCGCCAAATGCGGCCGTGCTGACACGCCCACTCATCCTCGCCAACGATCCTGTAGCTAATTGCGATTGGCATGCATTTGCGAACAGATTCGCTTGTCTTTCGGACGAGAAAAGCATATCGTTCATTTGAATGGTTGTATTTTTTTTTCTGCATTCAGTCACTCCTTCTTTCAGGAGACATTTTTGAGTGTGCGAATGATGACGCACAATGGAGGGACGTTTCCCGTTATCCGGATCGCCAGGAGAAGAGTCGTTTGCAAATTGAGGAAATGGCTGACTGGATTGTACCTGGTCATGGCCCCATGTTTAAAAATGAGAAGATTGTTCAAGAATGAGGAGTCCATTGTTATTAGTAGAAATGGCGCAATATGCTTCGTACAGTTCCATTTGGATGTTTTTTGACCTTTATGCAAGATATTGGTATTGTCACTCTGAAAGGTCAAATAATGCCTTTTGAGTTACTGTAATGCTGCTTGTATGATATTAAATCTATCTGAAAATTTGAGCGCACAAAAGGTGTTAGCGGTACTGAATTCCGCATACTTATTTTCATGGAGTTGCTCAGTTCCAAAATTTCACCAGTTTTTGATATCACTCTGTAGTAGGAACTTAAGGAAGAAGCTGCGTCCTTGGACACTTAAAAGGGAATGATTTGAACTTCCCATGGAACTTTGGATTCAGATCTAGGTACGTTGATAGAGCCTCGAATGGATTACAATATGCGGCTAATGCCGTTTGGACTCCAGAAATTTCGGCTGCGAGCTCATTTTCAAATTGCCTAAGTCACCACATCCACTAAACACTTGTATATAGGGGTAATTCAACATCCTGATTACGAGTATGACACTCAATCTTGGCGCTGGCGCCAAAAGATGACACTACGATTACCTCCTGGGCTCAGCCTTAGCAGAGCGCAGGTAACCGTAGTGTCATCCTTTAGCGCTAGCGGCAAAAATGAATGTCATATTCGTGATCACGATGTTGAATTACCCCTATATACAAGTTTTCAGAGGATTTGGTGATCTTGCCACTTTTAAAATGAGCTCGCAGCCGACTTCTGGAGTCCAAACGGCATTAGCCGACACGTGCTGATTAGATGTGTTACAGAACCTCACAGACGAGTTCTGTGTGGTTAGAGTTTGTGGAAATTAAGTTTTGCTCGTAAGCGCTGTGGATCGACCGCTGGCCAGTTCCGCCGTGGCTCAGGCAAAGTTCATACTTGGCGATCGTCGGTACGCGCCAGAGCACGCCCCAACGCTTTTACTCAGACCGCTCGCTCTGACAAATGAGGAATTCCGATTTGTAATGCCTTTTTCTCTTAATAACGGCTACTTGCTGGAAACTGAGGTCTTTCTCTTCCTAGGAGGATCTGGATTCAGGGTACAGCATCGTTGTGTCAACCCATGGGGGGGTCGTACTTTTGCTCTGGGGAGGAGGGGGGAGGGTCGTATTTGTAAGACAAGTTTATTTGATAGTTGGTTTTTTCTTGTGGAAAAGGGGGTGGTCGTGCCTGGGCCCCATTCGAAGGGGGGGGGTCGTACTCACACCGACACTTCGCACATCCCCATGCTGTACCCTGTCTGGATTATAATGTAGGAGATGGTTTCACCTTATTTATTATCTTTCGCCTGATTTATTTGTATATTTATTATTTATTGTCAATTTAGGCCGAGATAAGTGCAGGTGCATTTCTTAGGTGAGCTTCTTATCGTTTCTTTTGTTTTCATTGTTTCAGTTCATGTGTTTTGAAACTTTCCCACTGTCCAAACTGTTCAACTCCCAAAACAGTTATAGTTTACAAGTCTAGTTCAAGCAACAAAAAAGGATACAGAAAGAGACTCACCTAGGAAACAAAACATTAATTTTTATGCAACTTCGAGGAGGAGAAAACTTCATAAGTTCATGTATAGGCTCGAAGAATGGAAGAAGAAACTATAAAAATTACTCTAAATGGAGACCCCTTGCTTTTTGCTCATTGATATCCTGAACAGAGAAGAAAATAGAAAGAAAAGCCACAAGTTTCATCTACCTTTCCTTGAGTCAAAACGAACTCTAGTACCTGAGTCAATTGCAAAAGAAAAAAAGCAGCAAATTAAGCCACTTTTTCCTAATAGCACTCGGACCGGTCCAAGTAATAGCATTGGGGCGCGCTGTGACGCGTACCGACGATGGCGGCTTTCGCGAAGTATGAACGCTGCCTCAGTGGTATCGGTCGCGCTTCAAGGGCGCGACTTGCAAGGTTTGCTCCCCGTCGGTGCTAAGATTTTTGTTTTGGCTCTAATGAAAGCTTTCGCATAATTTTTGAAATTTCTACGAATGATCGACCCAGCAGAGTGACTACGTCGAGCATCTTACTTGCGAGATCAAATATACAGTGCAGTTCTCAGCAGACGGTGGGACGGTCCTAAGGCCACGCTGGCGAGCGGCCCGATAGTTGCCTGTTCGGTGGATGGCCGCAAAAACCTTGCCTCTGCGTCTCTTACTGTGCACTCTGCGCTCTCACACGCCGCCGCACCGTCTACCCACTCTTCCGCTCTGGGCTCTTACCGATCGATAATTGCTCTCGACCAGCTGATTTCTGCCGCATTTTCGCCGTATTTTTGCTAGATTCAGCTTGTTAAAGCTGAAATTTTTTGACTCTTGACTTCAATGTTCGAAGGTGAGCATTCTTACTGAAAATTTACCACATTTTGCATGAATTTAGCATTAAATTGGGAAAGAAAAAAAATTGAAATTGGGAATTTAAGCATGAGAAAGCGAACCATTAAGGCAACTTCGAGCTTCGAAAAACTGTCAGAGATGGTTCTCGATAATAACGAGATAACATCCGAGACACTGCTTGAAAACTCGGTCAATATCATAAAATAAATGGGGATATTAAGGAAAAGTTTGGAGAAATTGTGAAAATCAGAAAGAAAAACAAGTTTCCTAGGGGAATTTCATGCTAAATCAATGCAAAGGTGGAATAATTTCAGTGAGAATACTCACCTTCGAACATCGAGGTCAAAAGTCGAAAAATTTCAGCTTTGACAAGCTGTATCTAGCAAAAATACTGCGAAAATGCGGCAGGAATCAGCTGATCGAGAGCGTCAGCAATTATCGATCGGTAAGAGTCCAGAGTGGAAGAGTGGGTAGACGGTGCGGCGGCGTGTGTTAGAGCGCAGAGTGCAGAGTAAGAGACGGAGAGGCAACGATGATAATTTCCTGAAAGTTTTCGGCTTCCCATCGACACGCAATCACCACAACGCTCACCAGCGTGGTCGTAGGGAACGCCCCACCGTCCGGTGAGCACTCAACTGTAGAATTGCTCACTGTATATCTCTTACGACGCTTACAACTTCTCCGACATTCAAGATTGAACCAGGATTTCAATTTGACCGAAAACTTGTACTGAAACTAAACTTGCTCTTTAGTTTGACCCCTAAATGCGAATATCAGGTCCGGTTGAAGGAAGCATGTGTAGCCGCGCCACAACTAGCTGGGCAGGCGCTGGCGCCAGGCCACCATAAAAAATCGAACCCACTGAAATGCTGCCTCTAGCGGTAGTTTGAATTGCGGGCTGCGAATATTGCAACCGTTGAGCTTGAAAACGTACGCTCTGAAGACGTCAACACCAGGAACTTTTCGTGTTTCTATCACCAGCATTTATAAAGATGTTCGTATTCAAGGGTCAACCTAACCACAGGAACAAGTTTTGGTCAAATAGAAGTTCCGGTCCAAACTTTGCATTCACGGAACGGTTGTAAGCGTCATGTGTGAAACCGAGTGACCAATTCTAATTTGATCTCTTAAGTCAGATACCTGATCTAGTCACTCTGTTGGGTCGTTAATGCAGAAATTTCAACAATTGATGTAAAAGCTATTATTAGAGTCAAAGCGGAAAGCTTGGCACCGACGGGGAGCAAAACCTATAAGTCCCATAGTGCCATTAGAGCGAGACCGTTACCATAGGCCACCGTGGAACCGGCCACCAACCGATGCGCAGCGCTTACGAGGCAAAACTGAATTTTCGCAAACTTTGACCACTCAGAACTCGTCTGAGAGGTCCCCGTAGTGCTTTTGATCTACATATTCGTAATCAGCATCCGGGGCTCTATCAACGCACCTAGGTATCAAGTTCCATAGGAAGCTCGAACCATTACCTTGTTAGTGGTTTTCTATTCCGCGCTCAAGTGGCACGAGGTATGAACGCCTTATGAAGATTACTGTGACGAGGTTGCAACGAAATGAACGTTCAGGCCGAGCAATGACTGGGTTTGTGGGATTCTAGCGGCGTATTTTGGGGAACACAGGGCTGTCCTCAATCATTTAGTGAGCCGAGCCTAACCGACACGAAAATTCAATTGAAAAGGTTATTTTATGCTCTGTCAACGGTCCAGGATACCGCGACTACTACGCGAAGACCGTCAGCACCGCCAAACTCAAAGAGTTCGAACGGTTTAGAACGGAATTAGGAGAAGACGTTGTGGACTGTACACTTTTGTTGAAGTCACTGTTATTGTCCCTATAGAACACAAAATATTCGGCTTTATTTTTCTTTTGCTGCCCCAACCATCCAGAACTGAGCAGGTTTTTGACCAACTTTTCTATCCGCTAACAGATTTGGCTCAAATATTGTCTCCTGGGGTAATTTGACCTCTTCAATATCTGGTGCCCGCGCCACAGGCGCCGGTGATTTGAGGCATGGCATTTTGGCGCCAGCACCTGTAGCGCAGTCGCCAGGAGGTTTCACGTTGAGCGGATGTGATGTTCACATTCAGGAGGTCAGTCTACCCCTGGGAACTAGTTTTTAGTGGATTTGGTGGTTTCGTGTATTTTGGCGCCCGTGCCACATGCGCCGGCGCCAGGAGGTTTTGTGTCAAGCGGATGTGGTATTTATGTCCAGGAGGTCAAATTACGTCAGAGAACAAATTTTCAGCCAATTTTGTCACCGCAGAAAATGTAAGTTAAAAACAGGCCCCTTTTTGGAAGATTGATGCAGTAAAGGGTAAACCATGCCAAAATTCACCGCAGAAAATGTCGGTTAAAAACAGGCCCCTTTTTGGAAGATTGAGGCAGTAAAGGGTAAATCGTGCCAAAATTTCTATTATGAAAAAAGTCGGTGGGAACTTCTTGCCAACCTAATATGTTATTGGATGCTGTAAGGAGGTGGTCATCATTGCGCTATGGTGGGGTGAATTTCTATCTCGTACGGTGCGATGACGAATTTCGCCAAAGACACACAAAGTTCCTCTCTTCAGATGTCATGTCGAAATAGCATACGTCTAACTTATTTGCTGCGGAGGTCCCTATCAGCATCGGACCCACTCCTCGCGGCATCCACATCTACATGGCG